AGGAAAGCACTGAAGTCAGTGGAGGCCAATGGCCAAAATGACTTGGCTCTTTATTACTGAGCTCCTTATATGACGTCTTTAAATTTTGAATTGATATATCTAAGATAGTTCAGTTTGGAAAGATAATAGATATTTTAAAAAGCACTAAAAATGATGTCAGATGTGTGGCAAATATTTCTATTTAAATATAAATTCAGAATATTGAACTCGCAAAAGAACTCCATCCTTAGTGGAGATCTTTAAACTGTTGTGTTGAAAGGAACTATTGTTCCTTTCAAATAAAATCTTACAAAACAAATAAATAGAAATTAATTCCACACCTGCTCTCAAATACCAAAATGACTGTTGTAAGTTGGGGCATATTATACATTTCTATTCATATCACACCTCTCTCTTAAAGATCTTGTAAAGATGACTTTATAGTATGTATCCGTTATTTAATGCTGCAAGTGAAATGTAAATGATATGGAGTTTACTATACGGTAGTTGTAGAGAACAGAAGTAGTTTAGATGGGCAAAATTGTTGGGTTGTATTTATTACAAATCTCACAGTGTTTGGATTATATTTTTTCTTCTATGTAATTTAACCACATCAGAAGCTAATGAGAATCTTGCGGAAATACTTCTAATAAATTTAAATTTTTCATATTTTATTAGAAGTCAAAAACACTTATCAGGAAGGGGAAAAAATCCCAAACTTTCTTTTGTATTCTCCACAAAATTCTGATTCCCTGTGAATTATAATATTTGAAATATTCCCCTTTATTTTTCTCATGTTTAGTGTTCCCATTTCATAGGTCCTTCAAAGCTTCAGTAAGGTGAAAAAAGAACTAATTGGGAAGTAAAAAAGTACTAGTATCAACTATAACAGCATCTTAAAACAAAACGAAACCAGTTACACACCAGGCTGTGTGTGTGAGAAGTTTCTTACCACATTCATTGTGCCACAGGCTTTAAAGCTGCTCTGAGGCCGTCAAGAAGCAGGGAGGGAAGTGCTGTTCAGCCACGGCTGTGCTCTCACAATCTGATGTTGATCCAGGAAGTGGAAACAGTTCTCTGTGTTTTAGCCTCTGTGGTCTGTCCTACTTGTAGTACTGTGTGCTTCGTTACCTACGTTTTTACCAGCTTGCTCTCAGTTTTAGGAGGCTTTGTAAGAATGCTCTTAAAACATCTAAAATAGTCTCTGCATTGAGAGAGGCTCTCTCTAGAGTGCATCATCTGAACCCAGCTTTGGACCCTCATCAGGCCTTTTCTCCTCTTGCAAAATCTCTTTCCCAGTAGGATCTTGTCCTAGTTTTCACGCATCTCGGACAACTTTTTAGGTGCGTGACACATTTCCACTTTGTTGGTTCTTGAAGAGCGAGTTGTTTTATGGTCCCTTCTAGAAGGTGCATTTCTTATGGCCAGTTGTTCTCCCTGGTTTACCTGTGGAGTGAACAAGCACTAAAATACGATGTGAGATTACAAGTATACAGCTGGTGTCCATAGTGTGGGCACATTCCCTGGGAAATTGAGTCTTTGTGGCATTTCTGAAGGATTTCTCCATGTCTTGAGTGGTTATCTTCACCCTTCTGCAAGATGGATGTAGCTAAATGCACTGAGACACTTGGCACAACGTTGCTGTAGTCAGTATGGAAAAACACCTGCAAAACTTGCCTCTAAGTAATACAGGTGATGAGTGAGTGCTTGGGTTGCAAAAGTGCACGGAGATGACCCTTTGAATAAAAGTGTAAGGTTGCACCCCAGGCAGTACCAGCTTTTTATGAGGTGGGCTGGCAATGGACTGTGCTCCTTCTGCTGTGCTGCAGAGTCCAGCTAAAAAATATGAGGATGTGGAGGTCAAACTGAACAAATTAAAATGCCACCCAGTTATGTTCCTGCATGTCTATTGGCATCAACACACCCTAATGGTAAGTCTAAAAAGTACCCAGGTTTAGGGGCTTGAGCAGTGGAGCATCTGTAGTGTGACTGTGCATAGTCAATGCATGTGCAATAATCCTCAGTTACCTGTATGTAACTTGCTTAGAAACTTCCAGAAAAAAATCACACACATATGTGTGTCTCATTCATATATATAAATATATATATATATGAGCTCATATAAAGGCATCTAGTATAGGTTTGTGTAGAAAAAAGTGTTTAAAGAGAAAATAGCTTTCTTGAGGAAAGGTTGTTTACTGGATAAGTTTTTAGAACCTGTAAAAGGTAATTCTAAAGTGCAAGCAATGTACAAACAATAAAGTGTCTTTATATGTTTAAAAAAAAAAGGTTTCAAATAGAAAGCTGCTGTAAAGATTCTTCTTTCAAGTTGTGGTTGTAATTGTAATGCTGTATTTTTTTTTTTCTCCAGGTTACTGGATACTCTCTCCAGATGCCGTATGTAGATTTGTGGTCAGTAACTGGAGCTGTGTATCAAGCAGGCATTCATTCTTTGGAAATTCCCAGCATAGAACTTTGTCTTGCTGAGTATGTTCATCCCTATCCAAATAATATTTTATCTGTGTGGGTTTTAGTTCTTCTAATCCATCGTGGTCAAGTTTTATTTAGTTAAAAAAATGAAGTTACTGCTGCTTATGTTTCATAGGATGATTATTTTAGACATATAAAATAAGAAATAGAACTCAATAGCTGTAAAACACTGTATCTTTTTAATATCACAAGAAATGAACCACTGTACTGCATTTTGTTAGAGATTTATTGCAGAAAGTTTCTAACGGCATGTTATCCACTAAATATATGGTAAAACAACATTGTAATGGGCTGTAAATCTCCTAGTAATTAGTAGTTGACCATGTCCTGCCTGGACACGATCCTCTGCAACGTGCTCCGGGTGACCTGGATTGAGCGGGGGAGGCTGGATTAGATGATTTCCAGAGGGCCCTTCTGTCCTCAGCTGTTCTGTGCGTGTGTGTTTTGTTTAGGGTTCTTTTTTTTTTTTTTTTTTTTTGCTTGGAGTGGCTAATCCATTACTATGGAAAATACGTACTTTTAAGGCAGTTCAAGTGCATTGTTTAAGGAAAGTGTGCTGGCTGCTTCAGGCTAGTAAATGCTAATGTTCTGAGAAGGGCAGATAGTGTTTTCCAATACCATAAAGCACATACAACAGCTAATGTGCAAGAGGGGATAGGATAATGATTGAACTGACATACACTGGTGAATAGAAAGCCGAGATTCAGCATATAGTTTCCCTAGTCTCAACACATATGTTATGCTCCAGCCTCCCTTCTCCCCATTTATTCTAAGTACACGGGCAGAACTACTCCCAGTGCTGGCACTAGATGCCAGATCCTTTGTTTGTACTGAGAATCTTTGAAACCTTAAGTTGCTTTTAATTATTTAGTTGTAAAGTGGGTGGGTAGTTTTTTAATGTTTAGCAGTAAATATCAGAATATATATCTTATTTTTGAGGATGCTTCATTTTATTACATAATACTTTATATTATGCATTTTGATACTTCCCTATAATTTAGTTTGCCAAACATGTTTGTACTATAACATCTAAAATAGCAGTGCGAGAGACTAAAAATTATAGTACATACCCTGTTAGTGCCACTTTACATCATCAAAAACAGCACTAATATATTTAACATTACTGAAATGAATAACAGGCTGCTAACTGGCCACTTGTGTTCAGTTAGATAAGGCCTTATCTAGTAAAGAGACTTCTGTTCTGCATAGATTTAGAATGTAGAGCCAATGAATTATTGAAGGAGGGAGCTGCATTACTTTCTGGCTTATACATATTCAACAAGAGTGTTGCAACTACAAACATTTTATTCCTGGTGATGTGGCAGCTGCTCAGAAATCAATTATGAACTTTTTAAACTAAATTTGCAGTGCTCATAAAAATGAAGACATATCTAGAAGTAATGAGATGCTTTTTTTTTTTTAATCTACACATACAGCACTTCAGACTTGCAGTTTAGTGGCTGAAGTTCATAAAGGCCTTGTGGTAGTTCCCAGTTGTAATTACAGTTAAATTTTTTAAATTAGTGACTTTGAGCTGAAAAGTATAGCTCTTTCTGCGGTCTCTCATCAGCCATGATTTTGTTGCCCTAAGGCTGAGAACAAAATAGTGTTCTGGATGGGCACGTCCAGGTACTATGCCACGCTGTGAAGGAAGCATTTGCTTTTTCCTCATTTGGACCCTTCCTGGCACCCCTGGCTTTAGTTTTTTTCCAAAAGTGAAATTATTTATTAGTGAAAACTAATCAAGACTTTAGTTTCATCCTCTAGAGGAATGAAATTCTGCACAAGCAGCTTATTTTTGGAGCCCTATGCATCCTCAGCCAGCCCTTCTTCTAAGCTAGAACATGTTATTAGGAGCAACTAGAGTTCCCCTTTAAGAGCAAACAGTTATCAGAAATTTTACATGTCCTTTTGCCCAATTAAGGCCTTGTTGCTATCACAAATAACTGAAGAACTCACTGTGGTTGAGGCTCTTGAGAAAGAGGCTGTTTCTACTTGAAATATTGGAAGTAGGAGAGCACCAGCACTGTCTCTTTTTTTAATGAGAACAAAATGAATTCACCCTCCTCCTCCTGTTCTTTTGTTCCTCGGGCTTTCTTTGGTGCAGCTGTGTACTAGATACAGCACTGCTGCAATGTACAGGGTTTAGCATATGCTGTGGGTGCAATTAGTTTGAAAACCCCTTCCTGCATAATTTCCTTCCTGTTTTGTTAACATTGTAAAGTCAGATCGCTTCAGAGTTTATTATAATGTCACAGAAGGGGGTGGGGGAGAAGAGAGAAGAAAAAGCCCTCATGGTTTCAGCCCCTCCACAGTGAGAAATAGAGACAAATCAGGATTGAAAACAAAGCATAATACACACTAGAGACCTCTTACTCAAAACTAGTTTTATTTTTAAAAATAAGTTGAATGCATAGCACTCACAAAGATTCCATTGTTGTGGACATTTCGCATTTAGGAGCACCATTCTTATTTATACCACAAAATACACCTTTTGGTTCTAAGTGTAAGAACAGTGTATTTTTAATGTACACTTGTAAAGCTCTTTTAAATAATATTGAAACGGTTCAGTGTACATTTTCTCCATAATCATCATGAAGCTGTAGTGTCAGAAAACAGACTAAATAATAAATTAAAAGTAGTGGGTCTTTCAACAGTTAACCTAGAGTCTTAAAATAGTAAAATAAAAATACCCTATTAAATGCATATTTGCAGTATTAACTAACTGAATAGTCCCCCTGCCCCTTACAATTCCAGTGTTAAGTATTAGTTAATATAATCAAAAGACTAGGGGATAAATTTACTAATACTCCAAAGAAAAGCCTATACTGCTGCATCACAAATAAAGATGACAAGTTAGCCAATTTCAGAATTTTACAGAGAAGAACGCTACAGGCATCTGCTGTTATTTCAAGTCATGGTCTATTACAAGACTGTACATTCATAGCATCAGAGGTAGTTAGAGCACTGAAGACTTGGATATAGTATTGCAACAACATTGAACCTGACCTTTCAAAGGGGTAACTCTTCTGAATTAGAAGCATGGCATCCTGGGCAGTGGAAAGTCTCTACTTAACACTACTCTCAGACACTGGGAAACAGTCATGAAGACACAGGAACGGGGAGAAGAGATAGAGGGAAAAAAAAACAAAAACAAAAAACCAGCAACAACAACCCCCCAAAAACTTCACTGAGAGGAGGAATTGAGCACACTATGCCTGTATGAAAGAATAAAGCAGAGAGGGTCATCTCTCATTCACCCTCCTATCCCTTGATCACTTGACTTGCGCACATCTGCTACAAAAATCCACAACAGAAATTGGGATTTATCCTAAGACAAAACAGAAACAGGATTTCTTCTCCTCCAAAATAAAGTTTTTTTTTTTTTTTTTTTTGGTAGCATGTAATCATTCAGCTCTAGAAAGAACAGCCATCTGTCTTCTGTCACCTTTAAAAATTATGGGAAGTCCTCTTCTGTGATAGAGCCGTCATCTTAACAGTGGTAACAAACATCTTAATTGCCTCTACTTTCAAAACAGCCTTTGTAATGCTGGCAAGGCAGCACTTTGGTTAGATGATGCACAATTTTAAGTGCTGCCACTAAGACAGAGGAAAAGGAGGTGGTAAAAGAACAAACAAGACAGTCTTAAGCCCACATCCTACAATCATATTTTAAGGTCACAGGAATCCTGTCATTTATGCCATATCCTACCACAGGAGCAAGGCAACTATCACATATATTTGTATATATAAAAAAGGGAAGATATCTTTACTATCTTTACCACCATCTTCATCCAAGAGTTGGATGAGTGAAATTTGCTACCCTCAGACTATCCACTCCACAGGAGATAGTGTAATTTCATAAATTTATGTAATTAGCACCTTAATTGTGATTAAGCAATTCACTCTGGAATACATTTTTGATCCACCCATTTAGAAGGGTAAATCTGCATTTTTTTATGGAACTTGAAAATAGCAGAAGAAGCTGCCCTACTATTACCTGAGAATTTTCTTCCACTATAAGACTGATACAAAAATGAATTTCTCCAAGTGTTTAACTGTACTTTTTTTTTTTTTGGTACAGTCCATACTGCTAGTAAAAATCAGAGGATGTTTTCGTGTGTGTGTGTGTGTGTGTGTGTGTGTTTAATAGTACAGACAAGTCACAGCCACTGCAGCAGTTCTGGTACAGTAACAGTTCAGCTGAAACTCTCTTTCCTGCAGTTTCTCCACAACACACTGCTGGCCAGTAGTTCACATTTACAGTTTGTGAACACTGTCGTGTCCCTTTGGTACTCTGCATATAGATGCCCTGAAGAAAACCCAGTTCACTTGTCCTATACCCTCTTCCCTCTCTACCCTCCTCCCTCATATTATACCCAATTAAGCATACAAACCAGCAGCACAGAGTAATGAGTAGAAAATTCCCTGAGTTAGTATGAAAGAGTTAACTTTAAACATAAAAAGGACAGGGAGGAGAAAAGAAGGGAGAACATAGTGTCTATCCTGTGAGGTACAAAACTTAAAAGTAGCCAAAACACCAGTTAATTCAAATGCCTTAGTCTAAAGCACATATCAAAGAGCTGAAAAAAAAGATAAAGGGGGCAGAGGGGAGGGCAAGAGTACGGAGTTATCCAAGAGAGGTTTCTGTCTTCCTGTGGTCCCCATGTATATGGGGAAGTCTGGCATTTCATTGGATTTTCATGTTTTGGTAAATTTAAAGTAACTGTTAATACTGTATGGTGGTGTTACATAAATGTCTTCAAAATAATACTGCGCATCTCCTTCATTAAAAGATAAACCTGCAGTTAGTCCACAGCCGTTTTTCTGTTGACTTCAAAGGTGTGTTAGAAGCACAGAGTATCCCGAGTGCCAGAGTGAGAACTTACTGCTGCCCAGATACCTCCATTCTTTCTAGAGGGTGTTCTGTGTGCTTATTCTTCGCAGTCTGTATCTGAGCTAAGGTACTGGTTGCCATTCCAGTTGCCTTTCCCTGGAAAGGCACCATTTTTCTCCAACTTATTGCCCTCAGACTTAATAGAGGTTTAACAAAAACCAAAACAATTCCCCTCAACGCGGTTTCCCACCCCAAACCAAGGAGCACCAACCCGATTTTGTACTTATCACCTCTCAAAGCAGGGAGTGATACAGGAGTATCGTCCGTTCGCGTGGTAGCTGCGGTTGTAGGAGATGCTCACGCAGGGCTTCACCTCCAGTGGCACGGCCAGCGCCACGGCCGCCGTGGCCGGCACGTGGCCTCGGGCCTGAGCACTGGCCTGTAAGGCAGCAGGGCAAGTCTGCAGCGGGTAGGATGATGTAGGATTTGCTGATAGTATCTGTTGGCAGCTTTGCTGCTGTGATGTTTGCTGGTGATACTGTAATGAAGGCTGATGAGCCTGGAGATACTGCGGAATATGGTGCTGGACACTCGTCTGCTGGGGGCTTGGAGCTGGTGGCTGGAAGCCGGGGTGTGCAGCAGCCTGGGCATGTGGTCCTTTTTGCTTGTTTGCTTCCTTCACATCATTATCGTGCGCACTGGAAGAAAACAGGAGGACAGAACAGATTGAAATGGACATTAAAATCACTTAAACTCTTCTAGATTAAATTCTAGCCAACGGTGAAATTATCTGAAAACTTCCAACACCTTTAAGGAGCCAATTTAAAAAGCAAACAACAAACCCAGACATGACCAGCACACAATTTTATCTTACCATTTAAACTCATCTAATGTTTTACATTTTGTTTCTTTAGGGTATGGGGTTTTATTTAGGAATTCAGTTAACTCCATGGTGGCAGATACTACTGTTAAATGTTTGAGTTTTATCTAAAAATACCAGTTCAGTAAGATCTGCTCTGGTACCTCAGTAAAGTGCCAGCTTACCAAAAGTTGAACCTTGTTTCTATGTCATTTAAATTGGGTAACAGAATACAGTGTTTTTTAAAAGGATACAGTATGAAAGGATTTTTAATGATCTCTACTACCTTAAAGATCATATGCATATTTATATACAAGTATGCTCTGAGAAGTGGAAATGCATGTAGTGCTTTTTCTAGTCCACTCAATATTTAGCTTTAGACATTTTTAGCTCACCTGAATTCCTCTAGATTTACAGTTGTCTCAAATGTCTTTACTCTTTGTATATACTTCTTTCTCTTGTTCTTAGGCTGAGGCTAAGCAGGTGCTACTTACTCCATCAAGTTTAAAATCTGCTAAGTAGTTGAACACAAACGGCTCTTTTGAACACAGGTGGGGCTCAACCCCTCACCAGTTTTTCTTGAGAGGTTGTTAACTTATTATTGGGCCGTGACATGACTGCAGGATTTTCTCTCTCAAAGATGCAATTACCACGTACAGCTGTTCCTGCACTTTGCCACTGCCAAATGATACCGAGATCTGGGCTAGAACAAAATTCTGTAGGAGGAAAGCAGTTACAATGGACGCAAGTTTTGATCTTAAGGTTTGGATAAGGGAACAGGTTGCCTAACAGCCTTTTCAGGATTGGGCAAAAATGAATACAAACTCTCAAGTCATCTCCTCACTCCAAAATTAGCCTCTCAAACAGCTTTTATTTTTGACCACAAATCATTCAGAGCATCCCTTGAGCTTCCAGGACATGGAGCTTTTAGAAGCTCACAAGCCTTCCATCTTCTTTATTACGTTCTGTATTTAAACAGCCTACACAGATTGGGAATGAGTCATTTAATAAATTGAGCATGCCAAAAGATGTCAGATAAGACTTTTTTTTTTTTTTTTTTGAAAGACCTAAGCAGGTATTTCACATAGTTTGAATATTACGCAATATCTAAATATTTTTAGAATAAACAAATTGAACTTCAAGAAATACTGCTTTTAGTGTAAATATGAGTTAAGCATACTTTCAGATTGGGAAATGGGCATAAAAAAGCTATTGTTAGCTTAGTTACTATTAACTTACATTAACAGTCGTTCAATACACGGCACTAAGAAATCCCAGGAATATGCAGTAAGATGATGTAGTCGAGTAGGCCATGTTGGTGAGAGACGCAAGATAATCCTGGAAGAAGCTACACATGCAGTAGCAACTAAAGAAGGGGCATAACTTAAAAATGCATGATCTAGGAAGAAAAAAGATTCATGTAAGTCAGCTGGACAATGCTCGTCTCCACGAACAAAGATGTCACTAATATGTAACTTACCTTGCAGTGATACTTCCAGAAAGTAATCGGCATATTTTGCCATATATAACTTGGTCTTCTCTAAGCAAACCATTGGCCAGCCATCATGCAGATCAGTCTCGTGGACAGCAATAGAAAGATAATAGTCGATGAAATGAGCAGCAGTTGGGAGGCACAAATTCCACTGAAATGTTTCTAGCAACAACAACTCCATATGAAGTAAGTTCTGTTTGGTTAGTACCAGGTTCATGTTAGTCATACAACCCAAGCTGTTCAACTGTTCAAGTTTGGGAACACTGTCTTCCTTTTCTTCAAATTTACCTTCAGATGAATAGAAAGAGGAGGGGAGAAAAGGTTCAGTGTGAGTCAACTGTAAAACAGATTGCATCTAGTGTCCACGCTGGCCATATTTCTACTACAGCAAACGAGCCTAAGACTTAGTGATTGAAGCGAAGCTCAAACAGAAGATTTCTTCTGAGACAGAACAGGTGTGTGGTATAAAGGGTTAGAATCCAGCAGTGATGTCCAACAGCATGTAGGACATGCCACATGTGGCATTTCCTAGTGCCTCTCACTGGCACACCAGACACAAACTGATGAGAGCAGAAACAAGCCAAGCTATATTGGACCCCACTAGTGCAGCAGAGAGAAGTTTTTGTTATTAAACTACTGTAGAACGTGTCACTATCATCAATGAAACATTGATATGGCTTGCAGTACACAGCAATACAACGTTTATCCTTAATCCTCTCCCCCTGCCCCTTGTTACTTATTTTTAAAAGTTGTTCGAGTAACTTGTATTGTAGTATAACCAATGCAGTTATTCTTAATGCTTGTTTATAGTAAGTAACTTTTTAGATTTGATAACTGAATAGCTGTTGCAGCATTCATACAATACATGTCAGCAACGTACACCCAAAGACCGACACTGCCATAAATATGGTTTCAGCTTTAACACTGCTAGTAGCTGCAACCTTCTCTGGACTTTAACTTGTCTGTCCTGTATGTGTTCAGCCTGAAGCAAAATCATATGTGTAGAAAACCCATTAAGGAGGGAAACAAGTGTCGCATTTCCATAAAGCTGCCATATGGTTGTGCTATTTCAGTTTCATTGCAAATTCTTTCCATCTTACACTCCCTGTCAGTGCTATACAATATGTTGTGGGTAAACATTTTAGGCACCTTTGCAAGACTGAATCTAGTGAACATTTGATTTTTTTTTCTTCCCCAAGAGTGAGAGATACCTGTACAGGACTTAAGCAACACCAACCCGTATCTGTTATTCTGAGTCCCATATTCTGGTGATTATAGAAATATAAGCTTAAGGAGTCATTTAATCACTTCTGTTACTACTTTTATAACCTTTCCATGTATGTTACAACTTGGGATGTCCAGCTTACTGTACTGCTGATTAAACTAACTTGTTTGAGCCGCACAGGATGAAAGCTTAAAATGGCATTTTGGTTTGTGCTTTCTGAACTCTGCTCATACTCTGCTTCTCACCAGGGTGAGTACTCCAGGCTTTTCTAAGCTCTACTTGCACCTTGTTAGGAAAGACTGGAGAGGTGATAACAAAATTTTCTTCAGAACATGAAATTCATTTGAAAATCTGGCATTAGTATGGATTAAACTGGTTTTTGAGACACAGTTTTCATATTCAGGGCCCCTTCCTTTGCCAAGAAAAGATTGCTGGCTAGTGGCATCCAGTTGAAGTTTATCCCCAGAAGAATCCAAAATAGCCCTTTTCTTTTACTGTTCTGCTGGGCAGCTATATTGGTGGAGACAACACAGCAAAATGAAGCAGCATACCAAAATAGTCAACACCTCTGCACTCTAGCTTTCTAGTTGAGAGCCTAGAGATACAGTATCTTGTTTGAAAAAGGAAAAACAGATTCAGAGAAATGACAATTCAAACCCTGCCTGGACGCGACCCTGTGCCATGTGTTCAAGGTGGCCCTACTGGGTTGGACCAGAGGATCTCTAGAGATCCCTTCCAACCTCAACCTCTCTGTGATTCTGTGAAAGGGATCAGCAGAATCTGAAGCACCAGCTAGTTCTGCTGCTAGGGTAACGCACTACCCCAACATGCCACAGCCACGTCTCTTTGGCAACTTCTAACAGGGATCCCAAGTGTAAAGATACGGATACGTATTCCAAGAATCAAGCTGAGGTCAGCACAGGCAGGGCAGTTCATAATGAGTGTTTGTAATTATTTCAGTCTTCCAAGTACACAATAGTGTACTGTGTAATCAACGTACTTCATCTGCTACATTTGTATGTGACAACACAGGCTTTATGTTAGCCTTAGCTTGCTTAAAGAACACTGCAACATGCGCAGTCTCAAGCACTCCAGAAGAGTCTATCATCATCAACAGGCTGCAGGGCACTCTGCACAGAGTTTATTTTGTTTCTCTCCCTCTCACAGGTTATGTTCATTTCCCCTCCTTTCCAATACTTGCTGTCCTTAAAGGGACAGCCTTTCTATTCCTTACATCTCAAAAAGTTCAACTTACAATAATCTGTGCTTCTAAACATAAGCATCTTTTATTATTATTTTTCTTTTAAAAACACTGTTCGTCTTTTCTCCTCTCAGATGCTAACAAAAAATCAAAACGAGTTTAAGCAAAGAGTCTATCAACTGGGCCACATTTAGATATGGTAACTGGCTTTTACAAGTACCCCATCAAGACATTCCTTGTATTTGGCAGCAGAGCCTGTATTGCTCTAGTTAACTGAAATTTGGTGCAACACACTTACTTGCTAAAAGTAGGCAGGAAAGGGCAACCACATGCAGCTGCTGAATGGATATGTCGTAACGGTCCATGAAGAGGTCCAGCAGATACACGGCTAGATGTCGCGCTGCAGGACAGAGCCTGAAACGGTTGCTCACGATGGCAATGAGATCCGCAAAGTATCTTCTCAGGTGCAACTGGGGAGACTGGCCCTTGTAGGAGGGCAGCTTCAGCTCCTAGGTGGACAGCAGCAAGTAATTGTTATTACAACCACAGTTTAGTTTGAATTTTTGTCCAACTAATACAGCTGTTAACCACTGAATTTTCAAAGGATTCCTCACATCCACTCCCGTGGTTTCAGCACCATTTTTCACAGAGCACAACCAATTTGCTCTCTTACAGTAGAGCTAGGAGAATAATAACAACAGTGCACTTGAACATATGTTCAGAGTGCATTTGGGCAGAGTGCTTTACACTGCAGCCTGCCACGTTGCCTCGGCTGGCAGAGCTGCCAGCCCGACGCGGAGCTCGGACCCCTCCTGCCCCCACCTCATCCCTGCATCCGACTTGGCACGTTCCAGGGCTGCCAGCTCTCCAGCGGCTGCCTCAGGAGGAAGGACATCGCGTGTGCGCTGGAGGTGGCACCACTAGCAAGGGGACACGTGTGCACACATGTGTGCATGCATGTGTACACCTGTGTAGCTGTTTGCTGCATGAGCAGGTCCAGCCCTGATTTAATCTGGCCGCAGCACATTCGGGCGCTCACCTAAGTGCATCTTCAACGGCTCTGACCAGATGTAGACAAGAACACTAAACCAAGACCTAAAAGCCTCCCGACTTCTTACTGTTTATAATCCTCATATAAGATGATATGTGGGGGAAAACAAAACAGAAAAGCTGTATCAGCAGCACAGACAAGAGAGATCTGTGTCACTATCTGAGCCAAGTATTAAGTTTGGACTCCCGGAGTGCTCTCCTCCTGGCTCCCGCTCTGCAGCCGCATGCAACAAAGCTCGGGACGGCAGCACCGCACACTCTTCTGCTAGCGACAATAAACTTGAGAACTGCAGTCGAGCCGCCCAGATTAAGGAGCATTTTGAGCATAACAAAGCTTCCAGCAGAGCAGCCCGTTCTGCGACACCCAGCTGGGTGCCGTAACGCAGCGTTTCCAGGTTTCAAACTAAATTAAAAGTTATGCAGGACGTTATCAAAGTGAAACGGAGACAGCAGACCTGCAGACTTCACCTTTTCACAAAAGCAGCACAGTTCTGGCAATGGTAGTTTTGCTAGCTTATGTATAATATCTTATTTTCCTCTTGGGATCAGAAATCAAGCAACTTCAGCAATCACGCCTCCAAAGACACTGCCACCAGGCCACCTAGCACTGCCGCAGCAGGAGCGCCGTTTCGCTACCTTCATTCGCCACCAACTCGCTCCCATCTCCGGGGACGGGATGAACTTTGTTATCAAAACATCCCCAGCCGGCAACTCCAGGGCAGGGTCACGAAGCGCTCCGAAGCCGCTTGGAGCTCGGCGTCAGGCAGCCCAGACCCTTTAGTATTTGTAATGCAACTTAAGCCCCGGAGACCCTGCTCGGGGCTGGGGGGCCGGCCGCGGGCGCAGCCCAAGCCCGGGTCCGTTTCTCGCGCGCCGCGACCCCGGGTGAGGGCGGCGGGCGCGGGCCCCCCGCCCCGCCGGAGCCCCGTACCTTGTATCGCAGCGCTTGGTGGATGTCGGCCGCCAGCTGCCCCGTCCACCACTGCGCCTCC